CCCGGATCGGCCGACTATATCCTATAGCTGCCATATAACTGATTGATCGGAAATGGTATAACTTCGGTGTTTTTAGAGTTAGAGAGTTCAAATTTGATATGAGAGCTATTTTTGGCAAAATAATATGACATGCCAAATTTCATAAGGATCGGCCGACTATATCCTATAGCTGCCATATAACTGAACGATCGGAAATGACCCAACTTTCGTGTTTTTGAAGATAGAAAGCTGGCACTTGGTACACATTCTATTTTTGGTCAGTTAATCCGACCTGCAAAGTTTCATTAGGATCGGTTGACTATATCTTATAGCTGACATATAACTGAACGATCGGAAATGGTATTTGGTAGAAATATTAAATTTCGTATTTTTGAAGATAGAAGCTTGGGACTTTTTTTTAGATTTTTTATTGTAATTAATTGGTTTTATTATGATGTAATCATAAGGATCGGCCAACTATATCCGATGTTTGCGCTATATATTCGGTTTTAGCTGCAAGGGTATATCAACTTCGGCTCAGCCCGAAGTTAGCTTTGCTTTCTTGTTAAATTTTTTTTTTTAGAAAAAATACAGAAATCAAGGCTACATTTAACTTTTATTAGTTATATAGGTTTATTTTTAAACATTTTCCTAATCTTTTCAAGAACTGCCTAGTAATCCCCACTAGTACTACTGCTCTCAGCTAAATAGCCTTAGTCCTGCAATACAATTTTTAAATAGCGATCTTTCATTGCCGAACAAGTCCTTAAATTCTTTAAAAAACATCCCTAAAAAATAACCAAATATAACTTAAATAAAAACCATATTCCCATCACTATTTGGTTTTGTCAAGCCTGCCTTTACAAATACAAGCAAGAAGCTTGTTCCTTAAAACCACTCCTTTCACAAAACTCTACTCCACCTCCATAACTAAACGATCACGTAGCCATAATCACACTCACAAAACAGACACCACCGATCATCAACATAGCAAAGACACTCCACTCCTGGCAGGTCCTTGAATTACGAATAGCCTTCCAACCACTTTACCCAATCGAGCCTGACATTCTTATGATTTAGTGGATTTTGGGCTGTGGGCTTACAAAGCAACGAAGAAAAAAAAAGGCAAAATAAAAAAGCGAAGAGGACAATCGAAATTGATTGAAGGGCTTTGTTGTTCAAGGTAGATAATAATTCTATTGAATAAATTATGATTTTTCGGAAAAAGGATAACACTTTGGTGTGGTGCCTTTCGACTTTGACAAATGGCAGTGACCAGTGACTGGTTTGGTAAATAGAAACGGAAGCCCCCAGGGATAATGAAGATCTTTGGCCAGGAGTGGAAGATGTCCTGTCATACCTAACACCCACACACCTAACACCTAACACCCCCTACTCAGGCACTCCGACACTCTGGCCTAAGGGAGAATAATGGATAATGGCCATTTGGATCCGCATATGTCCTGGCTGGTTGTCCACCTTCATTTGCATCATTTGGTCTCTCCCCCCTAATGCAAGAAAATACAGAAACCCTCATCAGGACACCCCCAAAGAAGACGTACTTTTACCCAAAAAAAAAAAGGATACTGAGGAGAGGAGAGACATGCAACATTTCGTTTACGTCGAGTGCACTTTCGGTCACATTTATTACACAATTCCAATAAATAACATTTCGCAGGGCTTCCTGGTCTCGTTTGGCCAACTTCTTGGTAGTCAGGACATACAGGACTCACCCAGACACCCACACAGACATAGACACAGACAGACTCATAGACTGTCAGACAGTGAGAGAGACAAACTTGGACAGAGCACGTCGGCAACGATTTTCTTTATGGTATTTACAATGGCATCGTCAGCTCGTCATCGTTTGGTTGCCGCTAGCCCCGACTCTCAAGTTGGGAATTACAACGGGAAAGGGAAGGGAAGGAGATCCATACAAGTTGAGTATTTTATTTACGAGTATTTTCCAACACTTGCACACAAGAACAGACATCGAGAGACAAGAAAAGATATGAACGACAATCTTAATATGAAATATAAAATGCTCTTTTGTAAAGGTTTATTTTTTTTTAGAAATTTTTGTTTGGGGTTTTGGGTTTTAATTGTTGTATTTTTCTTTAAAATTAAGGTCTTATTTATATATACTATGAAGTACCTATAAGTAACTAATAGTATCTTAATAAAGACTTCCTTTTTTTAAGTATTTGATTTACGAGTATTTTTCAACACTTTCCAGCACAAAAATGGGAAAAGAAAAGACATAAACAGGCAATATTAATAAAACCCCTAATACCTATAAGTACTACCATTAAATTGCCCATTTTTCAATGCAAAAAACCTCCAAGAATCTCCAACTAGGCCTTAAAAAAGCTACAACCTTAATGAATCCTTGCCTTTTTGAATTTTTGAATTTTTAATAAATTATGTATGTACATACATGTATATTTAACACTAATATACACATATCCTTGATTATTTTTATGCCATAAATTCACAATCTTTATTGATAAACTTGTGAGATTTTATTTAATTATATCTTTTTCCATTCGGATATAGCTGTTCTGGCTGTGACTCTTGCCTCCTTTTTTGGCACTATAAGTGCCGTAAATTTGCCATTTAATTGACAGACCGGCATCATAATTGCATTATTGTCCTTAAATCCGACTTTGTGGCAGCAATTTGAATTTAAATTCGAGTCGAGTCGAGTCGGTTCGATTGCCGCAATTTTGCTCGGCAATGCCGCCCAATGGCTTGCATATTTATGAAGTTATTGCAATGCCAACTGGCATAAACATATTCATTGAAGGGAGTGCCACTGGGAGTGGAAGTGGGAGGCTGGCAAGGATTGTTTGATTTGCCACTCTAACGAACAGTCAATGTGTATATATATATATATATATATGTGTGTATAGTATATACATACATATATGTATATAAGGAGCGCATATGTATGTCTGTTTATGCGCCAGAAGTGCACATTGTTTGCTTTGCAAACTTTGCCAGTCGCTGTTTCTCCGCTGGCTTGGCCTGATCCTGCTGCCTTCTGCTCCTGGCTCGTCCTTCGTCCTGCTGCCTTGCCTCCTGTTGGTCTCCTTCTCCTTCTGAGTGTGCTCCTGCTTTTGGCCAAATATCAATAGCCTGGCTGGAAAAGGGAGCAAGGACCAAGGCCCAAGGACCCAGGACCAGAGCTGCGAGACGCACTCCACTTGCATATTTATATTTCACATGATTATGTTTAATTTCGATGCAATCCCCTCCCCTTTTCTGAGCTGCTCCTTCCCCCCCTCCATTTGTCCTTGGCCTTTTCAGGACCTTTTCTTATAGTTCATCTCTGCCTCAGGTTGTTGTTTCCTTTTTTTATTGATAAGCTCTACATTTTTGGAAATTAACTATATTAGGCTCAAGACTTGAAAGGTATATAATAAGTATATGGGAGCTGTAGGATATACATAGATGGCCTATCCTTATAAAATTAAGTATGTCGGTTTATTTTGCTAAAAATGGAATTCATAGAAAATCCCAACTCTCTTACTCTAATAGCACCAGAGTTGTGGCATTTCCGATCAATCATTTATATATGGCAGCTATAGGATTGGACACGAATACAATATACCCTTGTACTCTAAGGGTACTGGATATAAAAATTGGTAGTTTTGTTAGTTTGTGCGATTATTCGGAATATTCATGCCAAGTTTCTGATTAGAACTTGAGGTATGTTAGTTATTTCGAGAAACCCGATCTACTGTCACGAAACTAAAAACGCACTCGTTTTGAAAATAATTTAATTCTTAAAAACCCTTCTGGGAGAGATATTCTAGAATATTTCAACTGAAGAATTACAAAAAAATAATATTTCCCTAAATCTGTAAACCAGAAGACCCCCATAAGAGCGACATTCTTTTGTTAGAGATAAGGAGACTGTTGCGTCATTGAAATCTCTTCGAAGAGTACTTTCCATTTGGGAAGTAATACATTAGGTAATATATAAATAATTTATTGCATATAGTACATATTTACAAATGTATGTATATATAGCCTCAATATATATTAAAAGAAAAAAAAACTAAGAACTGAGCCATGTCTTGTTGCTAATCACCTCTCTCTAATCACCAATAACCTTTGACAACCCTTCCGTACGCATTGTGTCTGTGGAATATTTCGGCTTTTCCATATATGTGGGTATGTCCCAATTCCTAATCAAAACCTGAAGCTGAATTTCAAGCTCAGGCTCATGGGCGAGAATGGCTTTACAAAGCTGGAGCTTCAAGACTCGCAGCATCAGTTCAAATATTTCCAGAGACTCTTTCAATACAAAGTTCCGTTCAATAAAAAAAATACAAGATGATCCTCCCCGTGGCCTTAATTTCTGTGATTTTTTTTATTTCTGCCTCCCTCGGATCGGAAAATGTAATAGCCGTTTTAAGTGTTTCTATTTTGAAAATTAATTTAAATTTGAATTCCTCAGACCTGCCTTCCCCCGGAAGACGAGTACGAGACCATTATTGTGCAACAGTACTTCGAGAAGAGCCAAAAGAAGAATGCCGAGCTTTTAAAATGCAGGAAAGACTTCTCGGAACTTCAGAGACGATATTCAGACTTGCAGAGCGAGGATCTCAAACAACATGCCCAGAATTCAAAATTCCAACAGGGTTTTTTGGACTTGATGAAAGACCATTTGGAAACGCTGAGTCAACTTAAAGATAGTGAAGTTAAATATGAGCAGATAATAAATCAAAAAAATGGGGAAATCGAGCTGCTAAGAAATCAAATTAATGACCAAAAGAAAACAAGTGACTTTGCTAATTTAACTAATCAGTTCCCCGAAGTCATTGCCAAGTTGGAAAAAATAGTAAACATTGGAGGATCGAATGAAAATAGTCCAACAAAGGCGGAAGTAAAAACTGAAAAGCTCCAAACTACTTCGCTACTTAATATTTATAATCAGACGACATCGAAAACAGAAACCATAGGTGAGTTGGCAAAACCAAATTATTTGCAAAATCAAACATAGAATTTTTCAGATTTTCCAGAAATTTGTCCACGAAGTCAAGTTAATTTCTACTTTTTCCGCGAAATCCAACTTCCTGGCTCAGACCCGTTTAAAATGGTTTGTATGTCAGATTTGGAGCTTGGATCTAGATGGTTGAATGTTTATAGAAAATATGATGATTCAAAAACATTTAATCGCACGTATGAGGATTATCAACGTGGATTCGGTGATGCAGAAACTGGAGAGTTTTTTATTGGACTGAATCGCTTGCACTATCTGGCCAGTGGAAAGCCTCATGAAGTGGTTTTATACGCCGGTTGGGGGACAAGAAGATGTGACCACTTTGTTGTGGGCGATAGAAGCGAAGGGTACAAGCTAAATATTATTGGCAATTGTACTGGAGAAGACGTATGGATACTCCCTAGGCAGGGCACCAAATTTTCTTCCTTCGATCAAGATGAGGATGGAGTTCCTGGTCGTAATTTGGCGAAGGAAGTGGGCTATGGCTGGTGGTTCGACCCCGACATGAGGTGTGTATTCTAATTTGGTTTTTCCTTTTGTTGTTTATCTCCAACTAAAAATTTTTAAGATAACTAACGTGAAATAATTTAAAAATTCTATTTTTTCATCTATTAGCCCCAAGAAGGATAGCATTCGGATGTTCATCCGAAGAACCGATTAAGGAAAACAAAAAGGCTTTTAAGACAGACTTGAAAAATTAAACATTTTTGGAAAATATATGTTATTTTAGTATGCACTAAAATGTAATTATATTAATTTTAAAATTAAAACGACAATGGTTACATAAACGGTATTCGTAAACCTTTTTAAATCTTGAATAAAATTTCCAAAATATTTAAAAATTAATCAGAATTAATTGTTTTCACTGAAAAAAAGTGAAAGGTCGGAAACCAAAATTTTGAATTTCAGAAATTTCAGGATCAGCCCCAACGGAGCCTTTTAGAAATAAACAATAGACATCTCCGAACCTATAAGGTATATATGTACATTTAAATTTCAATAAGAATCGGTCATCTATGTATATCCTATATCTGTCATATAACTGATTCATCGTAAATTCTATAGCTTGGGTATTTTTAATGGTTTCTATTTTTGGCAATATAATACGACATACCAACTTTGACAGAGGAAAACCTCATTTCCAAGGCATCCCATCACGAAAAAGGGATGAAAATTTTCCGCTTGAGAATAGAATGAGATATGTACGTGGAAGATATAGCCATAACTGTGAACTCTATAGGCGAAAACCCCATTTTCAAGGGAAAATCATTTTCAAGAGATCAGGGAAAATGGACAAAAAATCTAAAAAATATTTTGTCTCTGGATTTTGACGCAGAATAGTGTAGAATCCATCTAGAAATCGTTTGATGTACTCCGCTTGAGAATCGGATGAGAATTGGGGACGATATAGTCATCTCTGTGGGCCAAATAGACGATAACCCCATTTTCAAGAGATCCCATGACGAAAAATGGACAAATAATGTAAAAAATATTTTTTCTATGGATTTTGTCTACGTCTAAAATATTCTGTCTAGTGTTACTCTTTCTTACATAAATATAAGCTTTTTCCAAAAATATATCAAATAAAACATAAATAAACGATACTATAAAAGTAAGCAAATATTTAAGCTTATGTCCAAAAAAATCAAGCTATTTAAGTCAGAAACAACTAACCATTAATAAAAATAAACTTATGAATAAAACTTTTATGTACTTTTTTTTATAATTACACAAAAGGAAATATTTTTTTTTCTTCAAAATTCGAGTCTCAATTAATCTTTTAAGACATATATTTCGCATCAGCTATTATATTTTCCATTTAAAGACTTAAAACTTGGACAAATATATACAGAAAGCCCTTAAAGTGAGAACCAATTACCATCCCACTGTACAACAATATTTGTTCAAAATTTTGTGTCTCCAGCCCATAGTACTTAATAATTTCTAGGTCAAATTTCGGCCTAAACAAGTAGGCCTTGGCCGAAATTCTCCAAAAAAATCAAGCTAGTCGACAGAGCCCCATATCCAGAATCAGTTTCAAGTCATCAACCGAACTGAACAGATCGTCTCCTAAATTGTATATTTATTTTTTTTTTACCAAAAAAAAAAATGTTTTAAAATTTCGTAACATTGTGAAATGTTTTTCGTGTTATTCGAGTAATTTTTTCGTTAGCTGGGGCGTCTGCCAAACAAAAAAAAAATGTGTCTGCTAGGTTCATAAAGCTACGCACCAAAATTGTTAGTTTTTTTTTGGGAAAAATTAAATATGGAATATATATACTCACTCTACATCCTACATTTTTGGTGAGTATAGTTGGTGAAAAGCCAATTAAATATTTATTATTATTTATTATTTATATAATATTTATTTATTAAATATTTATTTATTTATAAATTTCTTTTTAGAATAAGAAGTTGCTGAATTAGTATTGCTGATGTTGCTGCAATTACAATTTTCTTTGCTTTGTTGGGTCTATGATCCACACAGACGCACCACGGGGATGGGCGGCATCCATCACTATCCTGCCACATGTTACTGACGAATGATCCACACACCAGCTGGTCCTTCGAGAAGGATCAGCTTACTGGAATGGCAAGAATGGTAACACCCAGGACCCAAGTCACATATTATCAACGCAAAGGCTGGCATCCCCCATGACCTTGGATGACGGTCTTCTTTTTTTTGTTTTTGCGGTTCTTCAGACTAGAAGAATTAAGCTATCTACTCAACGACTCAGAGATCCACACTCCAATAGACAAGCAAACTAACCTGATGAACTTAAGTTGGAGAATCGACGATTCCAACTACCACCCTCATAACTACTACTTTTAATGGAAAAAAATTCTTTGCTGGGCGAAGAATCATGTGTGCCAGTGGCTGCCACCGATGTGGTACCGACGGACACAAACACGGACACGTCTAATATACATGGATATAGATATACACCACTCTTCTTCCCTGATCAGGACTCAAGGAAGGCTCTCGCACGCGCACGCACATCGACGTTTATTTTATTTTTTGTTGAATTATTGGTGGCCAGCTACTCGGCTCCTCAGATATTAACTAGAACCGTTCAACACAAGTATATTTTTGTAAATTATATTTTTGGACATTAAAAGAATAAATTATTGAAAAATGTAAAAAAAAAAACTGAATTTAAAATAGTTTTTTATATTGGGGATGGGTTGGGGGTAGGGCTGTAATATATTTTCCTTCAAAACTTTTTCAAAGGGAATATATTTGAATTTTTGGAGACTTGTAATTCTGATATGAAAATCAAAGCATACTAGGGATAAGGGAAGACGTTCCTAAAGGAAAAAAATAATAAAAATTTAAAAAAAAAATCATAAATTGAATCTATATGTAATTTGAATTTTGTTTTTATTTGAAAATCATATTTGGGAGTACTATTTGAAAAGTACTTTCTAATTGGTGAAAATATACAATAATAGATTCATCAAAAAATAAGGTAATACATAAATAATTTATTAAATATACATATTAGAAATGTATGTATATATAGCCACAAAATATAACAAGAAGCTAAGAGCATACAGAAGGTCTTGTGTTAAACACCTCTCTCTCTCTCTAATAACCTTTGACACCTCTTCTCTGTATGTGTGGGTATGTCCCAATTCCTTATCAGAAAGTCTGGAGCTTAATTTCAAGCTCAAGCTCAAGGCCGAAGACGGCTTTAAAAAGCCGGAGCTGCAAGACTCGCAGCATCAGTAGCAAATATTTCCAGTGATTCTTTCAGAAGAAAGTTCCATTCAATAAAAAAAAATTAAATATGATCCTCTCCGTAGCCTTCATTTCTACTTGTTTCCTAATTTCTGCCTCCCTGGGTTCGGAAGAAGTAATACCTATTTTGAGTGTTTTTATTTTGAAAACTAATTAAACTTTAAATTCCACAGTCATGCTACCTCTCCGAAGATCAGGAAGATGAATGTGCCTCAGTTTGTTATCCGATCGTGAAACCTCTACTTCGATACTTCGAGAAAATCAACGAGAAGGATGCGCAGCTCTTAAAGTGCAAGACAAATTACACAGAATTGCAGAAAGAGGGTCTCGAAAAATATGCCCAGTTATCCAAATGCCAACTGGATTATTCGGACTTGGTGAAAAGCCATTTGGAAGTGCTGAGTCAACTTAAAAGTAGTGAAGTTAAATATGAGAAGTTGCTTTCCAAGCAGCAGGAAGTTGACAATCTAATAAATCAAAAAAATAAGGAAATAGAGCTCCTTAAATATCAAAACAGGAATCTAAAGAAAACAAGTGAACTTGCAACTTTGACTAATCAGTTCCACGAAGACATCGATAAGTTGGGAAGAATAGTAAAGATTGGAGAAATTAATAGTCAGACGACGTCAAAAACACAAACCATAGGTAAGTTGGCAGAACACAATAATTTGCAAAATAAAACAACGAATTTTTCAGATTTTCCAGATTCTTGTCCACGAAGCCAAAAGAAAAACAAAGTCCTCCGCGAAATCCGACTTCCAGAAACAAACCCGTTCAAAGTGGCTTGTGTGTCACACTCGGAGTTTGGATCTGGATGGTTGAGTGTTTATATAAAACATTATAATTCACAAGCCTTTAATCGCACGTATGAGGATTATGAACGTGGATTCGGAGATGTAGGAACTGGTTCTTTCGATGAGTTCTTTATTGGACTCAATCGACTGCACCATCTGACCAGTGGAAAGCCTCATGAAATGCTTTTAATTACCTATCAAGGGCCAAGTAGATGCGACCACTTTGTTGTGGGCGATAGAAGCGAAGGTTGCAAGGTGAAAAGTATTGGCAATTTCACTGGAGGCGAAGTATGGATGAGCCCTAAGCAGGGCTCGAAATTTTCCACCTTCGATCAAGATGAGGTTGGAGTTCCTGGTCGTAGTTTGGCGAGAGAAGGAGGCTTTGGCTGGTGGTTCGATCCTAATATGAGGTGTGTATTTTGTTTTTTCTTTTGTTTTATCTTTAACTGGACATTTCTAAAATAACTAACTCGAAATCATTTTTAAATTCTATTTTTTCATTGCTGGAACTATTAGCCCCAAAATGTATGCAAGGTATGGCTTTTTCATGTACATCCGGAGAACTGATTGAAGACAATAAAGAGCCTTTTGAAACGGACTTGGAAAATTAAAAATTTTTGGAAAATATATGTATTTGTAATATGCACTAAAATTGTTTCTAATATTATAAAGACGATTATTAGATAAGCTGCACTCTTATATCTTTTTAAATTTTCAATAAAATTTCCAAATAAAATATGTAAAAAATAATCGAAAATAATAGATTTTGCTGGAAAAAGTTTAAGGATGGTTGGAAACAAAAATTTTTCAATTTCAGACATTTCAGGATCAACCCCAACGGAGCCTTTTAGAAATAAACAATAGACATCTCCGAACTTATAAAGTATATATGTACATTTAATTTTTAATAAGAATAGGTCATATATATCCTATATCTGTCATATGGTACTTGGTAAAAATATTAACTTGGTTTTTAACTTTTAAGAAATTTGGAATGTTTTTTTAAATTTTGTATTCTTATAATTTGTTTGTCTTTCGTAAGGATCGGTCAAGTATATACCTAAGTATATTGCATTTCTTCGTCACTTAAATGGATAACAGATAATTTGGCCTGGGGGGGCTTTCGGGTTCGTCACCGTAATCTTACCTCGTCGAGAGTTTTTTTTAAATTTTATTGGAAACTATTAAACAAATTTATATAAACATGATTTTAATTGAAACATGATAATTGTACTTGATGAAAAATGAATTGAATATATTTTGTAGACTATATTTTTAAAGTTTACTATGAAAAGGGATAGTTTAATTTATGTTCAAAAGTTCAAAAGGCAAAACGAATCTAGATCCTTCTCTGAAATGGCAATCAAAAGGCGCAAACATTTTCCTGGCATTTAAGTAATTGAGCAATTCCACTCCAACTGCAACTCCACACCGTGCCACTCCACCCACCACTCGATTGTCAGGCCCTCTCGAGTTTGGCGACAATATCGATAACCTGTCACAATATCGTTATCCTTGATGGCCATTGCAGGACTACTCCTGCTGCTGCTCCTCTTTTTTTATTTTTTGTTTGTGCCATTTTTTGTATTTCATTTGTTATTGATCATCCCCTGCAATGTCCTGCACCTTTTTATCCTTTTCGCAATCCATTTTCGCCTTTCGTTTTGGCCAATGTCACAAATTAAAATTTATTTTCCGACAATTTTTTATTTAAAGCTTTGCTGTGGGTGGATGAGGCATCTGGATAGCAGCTGGTTGAAAATCGCACACAAAATGCAGAGCTTATTGCCAATCGAAGGAATCAAAATAATTAAAATATTTAAGCCTTTAAACTATTAACAAAAATGAGAGATATTCATTCTCATAATGCTTTTCAAAATATTTTCCATTATTTTAAAAATTATTTTATAAAATGATAACAAAGCTTTGGCTGCCAATTCAATATTAATCGAGTTTATTTTTGAAAATCAATAATTTGTGCAAGCCCATCTGGCGTATGCGTAATCTCCTGAAAAATAAATCAAGTATACGCCCTGTGGAAGCCCCGGGCCAGAATCCATTCGGCTCCTATTGTCCTTTAAGTAAGGGCATTCCGATTGCCACTGGATCCCCGCACGCAGTCACCCAGTCACCCAGTCGCCCCGCCTCCCCAGCCAGTTGTGTTATCCTTTTTTTATTGTTGTTCTTGTCACATTTATGCACACTTAATGGCAGCGACAATCGACCTATGAATGTCCTTAGCCTTGGCCATCGTTTGGTTTGGCGCGCCAAGGAGGGGAGTGAGGGAGGTATGGGGGTGCAGTGGTGGTTGTTCCAAAAAGGAAGCAGGACACACTCAACTGCTGCAGTTTCACAATGCGCCATTATGCTTCCAAAAGGATTATAACATTTCAGCTCGAATGCTTGATATCCTTTTTGGAGAGGACTATGGGGAACATATATGTATATATGAACTAATATTATACTTAAAAACTTATAGTATTTAATATTATTTTAGTTTTGAATTGATAAAACAAACATAAATAGTAAAGTAACTAATGTCCCAATTTCAGAATCCAGAATAACTAATAACTAGATATCCAGAATAATCTAAGAATAGATTTGGGTTCTTAAAAGTATTAAATAAAAAAATGGTAAAATTTAGAAAATATTTAATTTTTCTTAAAGTCTAGATACTGTACTCTTCACTATACTATGTACCTATTATACTATTTACTATGTTAAAATACTATACTTTTTAATATAACAAAATACTGAATTAAATCTGTAAGATACTATGCAATTATAGGGTATATAATACTGGTTTTTGTCAAGATTATTTCCAAAAAAAAATCATAAACATAATTAATACTGATAGGAAATAATGACAAAACTATAAATACTATAAACAATATTAGTAGTAATAGTAGTATAGTATATATATGTATATAGTTTATAGTATAATATATAGTATACATTTGTGTTCAAATTCTAAAACTCCTTAACAAAACAAATCACAAATAAGGCTAAGTAACATGTAGTTTAGTTCTTAGTTAGTTCTTAGTTTAATTACATTTATCTATTTTTAGTAAACTAATTTTTTTATTGTGAAATCAAAACTACCATGCCAAACGAGTTAAATAAAGGGGAAAAAACTAAAAGAAATAATTAGAAATACAATTAAATACAAAATATTTCATATTTCAAAATATTCTATTTTGAATTTAAGCTTAAAAAACATACAATTGTGTGCTTATTTAACATTTAATATTAAAGTAGACCCTTAACATACATTGATTTTTAATAATGATTTAAAAAAAAATATAAAAAAGAAATTAAAATTTGACGCAAAGTGTTAAAATTTATTTCTTTAAAATTTCCTTTCAAAAACAAGCTCTCTGCAAAGTTTATTTCATATAAAGAATATTTTATTTATTTTATGAAAAAACGTGAACCACATACTCCCCTAAATAAGTTAAGGTATTGAAACAATAAACAGAAATTGTTCTGCCACCGACCGACCGTCCGACCAGACCAGGTTGTCGTCGTTTGTTATTTTTTTTGGGGCTCGGTTTTTCGGGGGCATTTTTGGTCATTTTTGGAGGAGGCGTTTGGAGGATGCAGGATGCTGGATGGAGGAGAGCATATTGAAAAATTGTTGTTGTAGGAAAAACCCATTTGGCTATTGTTTGTCATACTTTGGACGGCAGCCGTTGCCGTTGCCGTTGCCGATGCTCTACCCCTCTCCTCTCCCCCAAATGCTACTACCATCCTGCCATCCAGCGAGTCCGCCTTGTCCTCCTGTTTGGGTTCCTGTTCCTGCTGCAGTGGATTTTCAATAAATGACTTATGTGTATACACCGCGGGGCTAACTGCTGCTTTCCACGTTTGTATATGAGGGGGAAAGGAGGTTTTATCCCAGATCCACATCCACATCCACAGATCCACATCCCTCACATCGCCCCTCTTAACCCAATGGGTAACTTCACCCCTTAACCCTCTCTATTTTCCGGGTTGTTTGTGCTTTTAACGAGCCCAGCTGCGTGCCGGTTGCGAAAATCGCTTTTAAAAATAATAACAATGTTGTTTGCCACCACAGACCCGCCTCTACCTCTATCCCTACCGCTGCCACGCCCCTCATCTCATCTGGTTTTTAGCGCAAAATTCTGGTCCAAAAATAGAGGGTTAACGAAATTGGCCAAGCCATTTAGCGACGTCTAATGGCCGAGTTCTAAATGGAATCGCCAACCGCATTCGAAATGTGTCAGAGCGTTTGGCAGTCCGCTAGCCCCAATTACGAGATCCAATCGAATATCTGTGCTAGTTTCTGCTAATTTTTGGGTTAAAAATTATACCTAGATTTAGGAGGAAGTTTTGGTTTAACTTTAAACAATTTTTGGGGCCTGCGTTTGCGGATCTGATGTCCCTGAAAACAGTTAGAGCCCTACTAGGGTGCAGTAAGTCCATCTCAGTCTTGATGCTTTAATTTCAAAAGGGTTCCTTTTTTTATGAGGTTTCTGATCTCTAAGGAAAAACAAATAAAGCTTGTTCTTCAAAGTGTCTCTTTTCCACAGACCCCTTAATAATTATCTTTCAGACAAATCATGCCTTTAAAAGTTTAAAAAATGTTTAAGATCAGACACTTCTATACATTAAACTCGTATAGCTGTTTTAGGAACAATGCTATAATAATTATATGGTAGGTTCTCAACTAATGCATTACGTAAATTAAATTGGTTTTCGGATTTTTTTTAAATATAGAAAATAAATTCTTTCTCCATGTTACATACATTCACAAAAATAAAATACAAAATAAAAAGTTTTACTTCTTGTTAGTTTCGCGATAAAGAGATGTTTAAGGAATATTAATTCCAAGAGGTTGGGCTGATTAAAATTTAAAATATGGGATGCCATAAGCACAAGTTAAATAAATAATTATGAAAAAGTCCCGATTTTCTTAAATTTGTAGACTAGAAGACCCCCTTCTGCGCGACATTTATTTGTTAGAGATAAGGAAACTATTGAATCATTGAAATCTCTTTGAAAAGTACATACTTTCCATTTGGGGAAAATATATAATAGCACATATATGCATCATAAATAAGGTAATATATAAACAATTCATTGCATATACATATATAAAAATGTACCATATGTACATATATATAGCCACAATATATATTAGATTCTAATAATTAGAAGAAGAATCTAAAAACTGTTGCTATTTACCTCTCTCTAATCTCAAATAACCTTTGACATCCCATCCGTACGAATTCTGTCTGTGGAATATTTCGGCTTTACTATATGTGGGGTATGTTCCAATTCCTTATCAAAACCTGAAGCCCTGTCTCAAGCTCAAGCTCATGGGCGAGAATGGCTTTAAAAAGCCGGAACTTTAAGACTCACAGCATCAGTTGAAATATTTCCAGAGACTCTTTCAATACAAAGTTCCGTTAAATTAAAAAAAATACAAGATGATCTTCCCAGTGGCCCTCATTTCTACGTGTTTCCTAATTTCTGCCTGCCTGGGATCGGAAGAAGTAATAGCCGTTGTGAGTGTTTTTATTTTGAAAAGTAATGTAAATTTAAATTTCGTAGACCGGCCATCCCCCGGAAGACGAGTGCAGAACAAACTTTGCGGAACTTCAGAAACGATATTCGGACCTTCAGAGCGAGGATCTAAAACAATATTCCCAGATATCCAAATGCCAGCAGGATTATTCGGACTTGGTGAAAAGCCATTTGGAAGTGCTGAGTCAACTTAAAGATACTGAAGTAAAATATGAGCAGGTGATAAATCAAAAAAATGGGGAAATCGACCTGCTAAAAAATCAAATTAGTGACCAAAAGAAAACAAGTGACTTTGCAAAAAAGTCGGAATTAGAAACTGGAGAGGTCCCAACAACTCCACTGCCTAATACTAATATCCACACGCCGAAAACTCAAATCATAGGTAAGTCGGCAGAACACAATTTTTTGCAAAATAAATCATCGAATTTTTCCGATTTTCCAGATCCTTGTCCACGAGACCAAAGAGAAGAAAAAGTCTTCCGCGAAATTCAGCTTCCAGGCTCAGACCTGTTTAAAGTGGCTTGTTATAAATTTCAGGAGCTTGGATCTGGATGGTTGAGGGTTTATCATAAACTTTCTATTTCACCAATATTCACCAATGGCACGTATGAGGATTATGAGCGTGGATTCGGAGTTGTAGGAACTGACATGACAAATGAATTCTTTATTGGACTAAATCGATTGGACCATCTGACCAGTGGAAATCCTCATGAAGTGTTTTTATCGACCACTTTCGGCCTTAGCAGATGCGACAACTTTGTTTTGGGCAATCGAAGCGAAGGTTACAAGGTGAAAAGTATTGGCAATTGTACTGGAGACGATGTATGGATGAACCCTAAGCAGGGCTCCAAATTTTCCACATTCGATCGAGATGAGGATGGAGTTCCTGATCGTAATTTGGCGCATGAACTGGACTTTGGCTGGTGGTTCGATCCTAGTATGAGGTGTGTATGCTAATTTGGTTTTTTCTTTAATTTCATCTCCAAATGGACATTTCTAAAATAACTAACTCGAAATCATTTTTAAATTCTATTTTTTCATTGCTGGATCTACAGTACAATTCCTACTACAATACGGAGCACCGAAACGTATTCAAGATATGGCTTTGTCGTTTTCATCCGAAGAACAGATTGATAATAACAGAAAGCCTTTTAAAACGGACTTGGAAAATGAAAAATTTTTGAAAACTATATTTTATCTAAATATGCACTTAAATTTAATTATATTATTTCTGATATTCTAAAGACGCTAATTTGATAAACTGTAATCTTATCTTTTATAAATTTTGAATAAAATTGCCAAAATATTTAAAATATAACTCAAAATAATTGTTTTCACTGGAAAGAGTTTGAGAAGGTTCGAAAAATTTTAAATTTCAGACATTTCAGGATCAGGCCCAACCGAGCCTTTACAAAATAAACAATAGACATCTCCGAACTTAAAAAGTATGTATGTACATTTAATTTTTAATAAGAATCGGTCATATATATCACATATCTGTCATATAACTGAACGATTCGAAATGGTATTTGGTAAAAATATTAACTTGGTTTTTAACTTTTAAGAAATTTGGAATGTTTTTTTAAATTTTGTATTCTTATAATTTTTTTGTCTTTCGTAAGGATCGGTCAACCATATGCGATACTGGCGATATAAATCCAATCTTAACTGCAAGGGTATATCAACTTCGGCTCTAAAATCAGCTTCGCCTCTATCAACTAAGATGTCAGCGCTTAGTTCTTAGAGTATACATTTAGTATACATTTTGTAAACTTCAGTTTTGTTTAATAAATAAATAATAAAATAAATTAATAATAAATAAAATAAGCTTAAATAAAAAAACGGGCCTTTTGAAGAGTGCTTGAAATAAATAAAAATTAATAACTTAGTGACTGATTTGTATACAAAACATTTCTTCAGAACCTTTTAATAAAAAAATTCCCAAAAATCTAAAACTTATTTTGAAATGAAATATTTCTTTAACTTAAATCCTTAAAATTCTTTTGAATTTTTTGTACGTATTTTATCTTTCAAAACTCTTCAAAAACCAGAACTCAAAACCCCACTCTCTCTTTTATGCAAATTTTCCTTCACATTTCCGATAGCCGACCGAGAAAGAAAAGTGTTCGTCTTGGTTTACGACTCCCCGGAGATCAATAGGCCAAAAGTCAGTGTTTGGGCCTCTGTTTTCGGGCCATTCCGAGTGTTTAAATATTTAAGAATCTGTTTTTAGGCTTAAAGTCAGAAAGGAATGCCATTAATTTGGGGGAATTATACTGGGAGGGAGCTGGTTGAGCTGGGAGTCTCCGTCAACCCATCTCGGTTTAATTGGCTCTGTCCGAGAACTTTCCATTTAGTCTGGCCTTTGTTTTCCTTTGCATTTGCTGCCACAACTACCACACACATACACACACACACAGCCACAACTAATATCCTTGTTATCCTTGCTTCTTGCTTCTGCTATAGTCTTTTCTCTTTTTTTTTTTTCTATTTTTATGTTTTTGCTATTTTTGCAGCTAATGAAAACATTTGCCGGAGCAGAACGAATACGAATACGAGTAGTTATTAAAATATTTTCGTCTGTGTCGTCGTCTGCCAATGACATTTACAGGCTCTGCTAACTAGCAGGACATTTACTCACACACACAGACACACACTGACACACACACACACACGCATATGTGTCAGAAGCCATTTTGTTGATGTGACGGTTCAGGGGCGTGGGACAGGGGGAACTCAACAAACGTTGCTTTTGGGGTTTGTTTGCTTTAAAGTGCAACTTATTTACCTGATCCGGGCTGGGCAGGACCTTCCTCCCTTTTCAGGACATACAAGTCCACCCCCCCTTTGGCATGTGTTTGCATCCTGTTACGCCCCTACCCGCCCCTCGTTGGACCCTTATTTTCACCTGTATGCTTATAGGCCCGCATAAATGACGCACTGCACGAAAGCAGTCCTTTTCGGGGCCGAGTGTCCTGCTGTTGCCTGTCCGCCGCCCACCTTCCCGCCTGCCTCGCCCGCTCTTTGGCTTTTCCTTTGCTTGCATATCCATACCCTTTAATCCTTCAAATCCTGCGGGTTGTATCTACATTTTATTTTGAATATTTTTCTGTTGATAATTTTCTTGATTTGTTTTGAAAAGTATTCCGTTTGTTATGAAAGTTGGAGATTAATATTTATCAAAAACAAGAAGCTGCTACTTAATAGTCTATTATATTAAAATGTTAATACCATTATATTAATATCATACTTTTAATACAACATTTTCAATACCTTACGTGAAATACCATATTTTATATAACCATTACTTTAATATCATATTTTTAAATCATTATATTAAATACAATACTTTAAATATCATAATTTCTATTCTTTGCTTTAATTTCCAGTATGATACCATCATTTCAATACAATACTTAAAAAAAAAACCTACTTTAAAATCATAATTAGATAACCATACTTTTAATATCCTACTTTTATACTCCTCTTTAAAATAGCATATTTTTAAAATAATTATTTTGGAACAAAGCTTTTTTAATAGCATACCTTTAATACCATAATTCTAATATTATACTTCTAAAACCTTAATTTTAAAATCATACTTTTAATTGAAGCCATATTTAGTACTCTCCTTGGTCTTATTCGAATATTACCAATTTCTAGGATATTATTTAAGCCTGGCATGTTGGCACTCACTACCCTCTACCCTGACACTCTTCTCTTTCCACCCCCCACCGCCTTGTACTTTTGCCATTTTAGCCTTTGTCCTGTGTGTGTTTATGCTGATTTTAATCAACGATTTTAACGTGAGCATTTGTTTGTCATTTACAGTTATTGCAGCATAAACACACACACACACTACCACACACACACACTCATACTAACACACACATTTATTGGCTTGCATAAACAGGTGAAAAGAGACAGGTACAATATGGCAGACAGAGATAGTACCAGTCTCGTTTGCATATTGCATATTTTTATTCAGGCATTTAATATATTTTCACTTCTCTTCTTTTCTACTTTTTTTATACAAATTTTATTGCTCAATATTAAACAGAGAATATAAAAAAAAGCAAAAATCATTTAAGCAAATGTTGAACTTTAGTCCTTTTTTTTTTTAAACCATTTGCCCTCCAGTTTAAATAGAATTATTAAACAAACAAAGTGAATACAAATTAAAAACCATTTTATATTATATTTTTTCCTCATTTTTTTTTTGTTGTTTAAAATGAAATTAAGTTGAAATTTAATAAAAACACACATTTAATTGAATTGGCAATTGCATTTGGTTGGTCATTTTTGAGCTTTACCCTGGTACTCCCTGATAGTTTCCTGATAGTCCCCAAGGGAGGGAATCATAAACATAATTTACATGAAAAAGCCGAACCGAACCTCTTTCTGGCCATAAAACGCAGACTCGGCGACGATTTCCATTTTCCAATAGTAAAATTCAAGACCCCCCAGTCTTCCAGTCTCCCCTTTGGGGCCAGAGGGAGTGTAAAACAAATGACTGCCAGTGGCACAAGTAAATCAATTGGTTGCCATTTGTATGCGTAGCGTGAGAGAGTGGGGTAGGTCCTTCTACCCTACCTTAAATTTGTATTTTTTTTTCAATTTTTAGCCTCCATATTTTTCCTATATTTTCCAAAAAAAAAGAGAAAGAGGAACAGCTGCTGCCATAAATAGCGGAAAAGCGGAGCAGCAGACACGCACATGTTATCCTCCTCCGCCTACTGCGTCCCCTTGAAGGTGTAAGTCAAACTAGTGGGCGTGGCAGGGACTCACATCCCTCCTCTCTCCCTTGATGTAGCAGCATTTTATGCGCAAATGCAAATTAAATTTTCACCGTATTGCCAAAAAAGGAAAATCGCTCGGAAAACGGCGGAAAAACGGCTTGCCACGCGGCCACAGTCACAAGAATGTGGGCGGCTATGTACGGCTCTAGAGCCGGTGGGCGTGGCCGCAAAGAATGGGTCGGAATGGGTAATCTTGTATTTTTGGGTCTACTGGCGGGCAGGCCCACGAAAATGGCAAAAGGGTTTGTTGCTTTCTAGGAAAATCAACGGCAGTTTGGGGGCTTTTTCCTAAATTAAATCAAGCTAAGTGTAAAATAATAAGTGTTTGGCTTTAAACTACTTGGAAATTACATTTAAATTAATAAAATTATATTATAGGAAAATGATTTAAAAATATACTAAGCCTTATATAGGTTATTCTTTAATTTAAAGGTAATAAATCATGTATAAAGCAATAAATGTTATATGTTAAAATGCTAAAATAATCGTCAAGTAGTTCGTTTTTAATAGTGTTTTAGAAGCATTAAGTATAAACATAGTCTGGTATATTAGTACTAGAAAAATAAGTTTAAGCCTATTTCTTTAAAATTTCGAAAAATTCATTTCAAGACAATTTCTGAATATTATTTAAAAACGAATAATATTAGTATTATTTTGTAGTTATTATTTCTTATATTTGTTTAAGAAAAGTGTAATTATACGTAAGAATTACTTTTTGGTAAGTAAATTAATATTTTTTAAATATTTATTCATTAATTTAGATAAATAAATAAAGCATTAAGTATAAGTATAAGGTTAAAGATAATCTCTACCTTGAAATATTCATTTTATTCTTTGTTTCTTCATTTAAGTTAAGCAATTGATTATTTTGTTATATTAATCCGCAGTTCTTATCTAAAAACTAAAACTTCAGTGCCCTAATAATCCTCAAATTTCAATAAAATACCTACAAAGAGCATTACCAATTCATTCAGCCTTCTTGACCATATTCCCTCTCCTCTAACCGGATTTTCTGAGGCATGTTTTTGGCTTGTTTTTCTTTTTTTTCTCTCACAGGCTTGTAAGATGCTATTGAGGCTGGCTCACGTTTTTGCGGCCATGTTGTTGTTTTTCTGTGGGGTACTGTGCCTATACGTTTTATTGTTGCTTAAAATTTACGCCAAGAGCAATAAAATATTTTAATGGCCGCATAAAATGCTGCAGCATTTGTAAATAAAATCAGAAGAAAAACCCAAGGAAATCGGAGGGTTTAGCTAAGAAAAAAAACAAAATAAAGGAGAAAAGTCCTGTTTGTGTCTTGTAACTAATTTTACATTCGAATACCGCCTATCCCCATCTCCCCCATCCACTCCCCTTGAAGCTACAATTTTTATGGCCGCCCGCGTGCAATTTGCCAAATGAAAATCGCCCGGGAAACGCACAGGCGTTTATAAACGCGTCG